TTTCTCGCTGGGCACACTTTCAATATCTCTATGATGCTGGGTGAGGTGCCAAATCTATGGAAGCATGCCCAGGTCACTGCCATCTCAAGGATACAAGGAGCCGAGTTAATAAGTGATTTTCGATTCAGCAGTCTTTTGCCAGCATGTAAAGTTATGAAAAGAATTACACAAGGCAAATTGCTTGCAGCTAAATTTATCACATCTGATTACATTTATCACCATCATCATCACACTTTAAGCAAAGCTCACTGTCTAGTTTGAAGCTGCAATCTTTTGCAATTAAAATCTTTTGAGCGGCTACAGCAGTTTGAGCTACAGAGTTTGAGATATTTGCTGCTCGCTGCACCCAGTACAGTCTAAAGAGGAAAGCGTGAATCATTATTTGCAGGATGCGGTGCAGGAGGCAAGGCCCTGCCGTCAGTAACTGCAGGAGATAATTAGGAGCGCAAGTGTCGTGAAGAAGATTTTGGCATGAATTCAGAAAAATTGCAAAATAACCGTTAAAGGCAAGTCTTTATAAGTTGCTTGAAATTTCTAAAGAATATAAAGAAGATTTGGACTCAGCATTGATAGGCGCGTTTTCAGATTCTATATTAGAAAGATAAACACCTCTATTTTGCTGTAAGTCTGTTATATAGGAGGGATATAGAAGTCTTCGAACAGTAAATACGGTAAATTGAGAAGTGGTAAGTGTAGTGATGCTTGGAAAATAACGAGCAGATTTTTTAAGCTTTTTTTCTGGAACTATTTTTGAAGTTAAATGATGATAGTAGGGGGTACTTGAGATCGCCGGCTTGGTATGAACAAATCAAACGCTATGCCGGTTTCGCCTTCGCGCATGGGTGCGTGGCGTTAGGTACCCAGCCGAGGTGCGGGCGTTAGGTAACCAGCCATTAGTGGTATACACTAAGCCACGCCCTTTGGCTGCTTTAACAGCGGGTACCTCACGATACATCAGATCCTAGCTGCTAGAACAGCCCACCTAACTCGCTGAAGCGCTGGGGCTTGCGACCCACATGAAGAAGATAGTTCGAGAAAATCAAAAAGATGCGCGAATGAAAGCGCAAGTTTACACCGCTTTTCCTAATGCTTTTCAAAGTAAATTTTAGAACCACAGAAATTCGGTGATGAAAGCTAAAAACAGTGTAAGGCTTTCATGAGCAGTTCACATAGTTTTGCAAAAAAATTGTGATAATCTGAACCGATAACGTCAGAGGAAATTTTATGAAAGTTAACCTTGTAGGATACCAATAAATCAAAATTCTATGATTTTTATGAAGAAAAGAGCACTTTTGGATGCGCCCCTGGCAGATATTAAACGGAATATTCCTTTCACATATTGTCATCAAGCTCGTTTTGACCCGTGAAGTTAAGGATCGTAACACTTGCATTGATATTGCCACAGGAATTGTGAACTATGTTAACGTAGGTTATTGAGGTTATTATTTCGGTCATAGTTAAGACCAATAGATTTATGGGGCATGGATAAGCACACATTTTTCTTTATTTTGGAAGATTTCTCGTGTAAAATATGCTCAGTTTATCCAACCAAAGCTATAAATTTTTTTGTCACTCCCTAAAAAACGAAAGATTTCCCCAATAATTGTTCTCAGTAGAGTTGCTGCTTTTTCCTGTTGCATTCTCTTGGCGACACTCATTCAAAATTGGCATAGCTCTGTAATTTACAATTTTCGTTGACTGGAACAGAGCTAGCGTCCTTCCCATATCAGTGGGCCGCATAGTCCGGGGAGACGGCCCTTCTGAACCGCTAACACTAGCAGCATTACTGCGCGCCTCTGATTGGTCGGTCCTGCCGCCGCTTGGGTGAGCGAGAGCTATGCTGCCGTTAGAGACGTCTGAATTGGACTGCAAAGGCATTCTCATGATAAAAGAATCAAACAAGATTACGATCCCCATGAAACTCGAAAATGTTTTATTTGGGCGGCTTAGGTAAATTCTTCAGCTTACACGTGCAGACTTCATGGTGTTTTGAAAACTAAGAAGGGCGAAGAAATCACGAAATGGCCTTAGAAACATGCAACCTTTCTAACTTTTTGTCTTCATAATTCAAATATCCTCACTATAATTGAAACTCGAAAATGTTTTATTTGGGCGGCTTAGGTAAATTCTTCAGCTTACACGTGCAGACTTGTCGTGTGCCTCACTTGGAAACGCTCAGAAATTTGAAAACTCTGCTATAATATAAGAAAGGCGACGTAATTAGTTGCCCGGGCAGAGTAATTAGCGCTAGGACGGAGCGGTTCAGAAAGGCACACACCCCATAGTCCGCCTTAAAGTTCCGATTCCTGATGACAAGTTCTCGTCGAAGCTCTTCTTTCAATCGGTTCCTCTTCTCATTGTCAAAAATATATTTCAAGCAGTTTTTTTGAACAAAGGAATATTTCGTGCAACTTAATTGCCAGGAGCGTCTCCGAAATTGCGCTTTGTTTCAGTAATATCATAGAATTTTCTACAAGGTTGACTTTCATAAAATTCCCTCCGACATTATCGGTTCAGATTATCACAATTTTTTTGCAAACTATGTGAACTGCTCATAAAAGCCTTACACTGTTTTTAGCTTTCATCATCGAATTTCTGTGGTTCTAAAATTTATTTTGAAAAGCATTAGGAAAAGCGGTGTAAACTTGCGCTTTCATTCGCGCATCTTTTGGATTTTCTCGAAATATCTTCTTCATGTGGGTCGCAAGCCCCAGCGCTTCAGCGAGCTAGGTGGGCTGTTCTAGCAGTTAGAATTTGGTGTATCGTTAGGTACCCGCTGTTTAAGCAGCTAAGGGGCGTGGCCTTGTGAATACCACCAATGGCTAGGTACCTAACGCACGCATCTCGGTTGGGTACCTAACGCCCGCCCCCCTTCGCGCATGGCTCGTTTGAAATTGGACTCATCGGGGGGACATCCACGGTGCAAAGCCCGGATGCGGACAGTAATTTCCACACAAACGAGAGTACGTTTGACAGAATACTTCTAACATAACAGAAAAGGAAAGAAATCCAAAAAGCGTTTCATACATCAAAAAATTACCTTACCAACTCCATCAACTAATTGACCTTTACTCTTTTACTCACACGTAACCGAACTCTCTTCGCAAGGTTTCTTTTGACATACTAATTTACCACACTTTTGAAGAACGTCATTTTTCGCTTTTTTCAACTTCTTGTTTTTCTCCGAGATTATCTAGCTCAAAGTGAATTTGAATGGAACGCTTCTCCTCAGGTTCTCTCTGAGCAGATATTTTGTTGCAGAATGCGAACCTCTTGCGAAAATACGATGTTTAAGTTTATAAAGCCATCAATGGGCTGTATTCTACGCAAAGAAATTTTGATATTGGATAATATAGTGTGGTCGTAAAACTGTTGAAATCCGAATTTTGGGACGGCAGAGCTGGAACGTTGGGATTTGGCTGCGTAGCAGAATTGCTGTGACTTTGTTTATAGTTATACATCAGATCTGATTCCTCAGCTTTTCTAGCAAAACGGGAATCCATACAAATAATAATGAGCTGTGTCAGCAGATCAGCGGAATACGAATATTGTTTCATTTTGCAGAGCCTGGCTTCAACTGGCTCATACATGATGGATCGAAAAGTATGGATCTGCTTACAACTTCATTGAAAGGGGTTTGACAGCATGCTGGTTACACCTGTACTGGAAGTGCAAAGATCCATTTTGGTTATAGCTGATACAAGAAACTTGCTCATAACGATCTATCAGAAAGTCTTTTGATGCGCAACCGCATTTAAAACTGTGACCAGCATGAGCATGCCACTTCTCCTGGCAAAAATACCCTTCCATCGTAATGTGACTCCATTGAAAACCTGTGAGCCATATTATACAGAAATGTGGTGTCGACTTTCCTAAAAGGAGATGACTTCAAGAGAACAACAAACTCAACTTTGGTTCAAAGGGTAGCAGGCGCTATTCGGATTCAAAAGATCAAGTTTGTGTCGGAACAAAACTTTCCGTGAAAGTTGAATGCAGATTTCGCGATAATTTTTGTGATCCAAATATACCGCTCGTACTTCTAAAAAAACGACGCAAATTCGCCCGAACTATGTGATATCACCGCAGCGTGGCCACATCTTCTTCAGAGCGAACGAATTATTAATTCAAAAGTACCATTCGGCTCAAATCGACGCGGCGCATTCTCTAATATATAGAAATGGCCGCTTGGACATAGTAAGAGGTCAGATTCCACTAATCGTTTCAGATTTTTACGTATGGTTGCCCAGTGATTGCAATGAATAAGCACACTGAGTAATTTACCGTCAGCAAAAATCGCTTACGATTCGTGGAAACTGAGCTTTTATTGTGTTCAAACAGACAATTCTATGTGTCAGAAGATGTGCGGCGCCGTGCTGAATCGAAGATTCCCTTGTACTGAGAATTCTTTTACTCTAAAGCGAGGTCACGCACGGTGATGTCTCATGAATCGGGCGATTTTGCGTCTTTTTTTTAAAGAATACGAGCGGTATCGAAGATGAATGATACCCTTTCTAAGATTTGCTGCTCTCTTTTAAACTGAACTAATGGAGATTTGTAAAACACGCAATCAATATCAATGTCATGGAGAGCTCTTTGAGCGTAAGACACGATCAAGGCTTTGCGTATGCAGTTCGTCCCTTTGATTCAACGAGATTGGCGGCTGGAAGGCGTATCCGAAGAAGTACAACAAAATTAGTTGCCAATAGCGACAGTTTTGTTGTGTCAGTAAGGGGGATGGAACGCTCAGCCAATCTTAAGCGTTTTTGCTGGAGTGGCGACGTTCAAATTCAGTGGACTCCAGCGAGCACGCAGTTTTAGAATTTTGAAACATTTATGCATCGAAATAGTATTGAATTAGTTGACAGAATAGCCATCTTTCTACCATCTTTCTGAAGTAAACGGCGTTGCTTGGTTCAAACAAACGCCATCATCAGCAAACGAAAAAAAATAAAGTGCTTTCCATATTTATTCATCTAAAGTTAATATAAGGCAAAGGGTAATCATATAAATTGCCCAATGAAGAGAGCATTTTTATCCTTAGTAAGAATGAAAATGAATGGGTGGTCTGCGATGAAATTTCTCTGGATCCTGGGATGTATTTCTCTACTTACTTTCCTATAGATTTTGATGCGAGTTGCCGCGGCTGCAGTTGTTCCCTTCTCGTCAACCTATTCGAGCAAATTGTAAAAATTGCTTGAAAAAATTATTGAGCATTACGATACCAGCATAAACTAGTAATTTGATGGTCAATATGGTGCTTCAGCGGTACTGACAACACGAGCATAAACAAGTGCCATGACTGCGATGGCGATCTATCGCCGTTTTTTTATGCACAAGTGTTATCGGTAGTGCATTACTGTGTTAACCATTTGCATACAACATAAAACACTTTGAAACTTTTAGATTTTGCTTTGTTCTTTGATTCAAAGCAACTCTTTGCTTTTGTTTCATTGTTACAACTAATACAGAAGAGAAACCTGCCTCAATAAAAGCTCTATGCTTTGCGTCGGATACATACAGGTGGTCTTCTGAAATCATTGACAAATCGGCCAAATTACGATCAAAAAGATCGGAAACACCCATAGCCAACAGAGCTTGTTTCAAATCGTAGTCCTTTTCAAGTTTCATTTTGGGGATTGATATCTAAAAAGGTGATAAAAGCGTTTAGTCAAAAGATTCTTCTTACTTGGTCTAAATGCGTTGACTTTAGCCGTGAGAGCAGATTTCGGATCGTAGCTGCATCCAACTTTGTACGGAGCTCATCAATGCCGAATCTTCAAGTCTAAACTGTATCTTCTGGCATACTATGGCGAAAACAACTACCTTTTCTTAGGCAAAAATATATTGAAAGAGTAGGATGTGTCCTTATAAGGTAGCGATGGAACTTGAACGACTTCATTCTCAGCATACATGCGATTTCTTCCGTACTCGTTCATATAGTTCACCTGCAAAAACCAACAAATCGCAGCTGCTATATGTATCAAACAGGAATCCATAGCACTCTCTCTCTCTACCTTTCCTTTATCATCTGCAGAATGATAAAATAAAGCCTCTCTTGTGAAATTCTTGTTAAACGTGTAATGCCAATCAGCTTTGAAGTAAATTGCATTTACTATAAGGGCATCTGCACCTGAAACATAATCTTTCGCCAAAAAAAGGATAGTGACAAGAAAACGCACCTTCTACTGCATCACTTTTTATGAAGTTTTCGATTTTTCCACCAGTTTTTTGACTTACGAAGTTGTCGATAATCTTAATTGGTACTTTTTCCTTTCAAAAGCACATGTTGTCTATTCTTTATACCTTAGCAGTTTTTCCTGCCTGCCTAAAGTCGTAAGTTTCTATCAAAGCGCCAAACTTTTGGGCAATCATTTCCGCATAGCTCTTTCTTATCGGAAATGTCTTGCTAGAAATAGGTGGATTTTTTTCTTTCAAACTCACAAGGGAATGGTCAGAAATCGAAGTGGCCATTCCAAACAAGCTGCGTACCGTTAGATGCAGCATGAAGCGCTGACGCTAAATCTGTCTTCCTTACCTGCTTATCGCTTTTCTGGACGAAGCTATAAGCCATTAAAGACCATTATTTTGCTAAGAAATTATGCGTGAAATTGAAAATTTAGCCGTACAGAGCCGTTCGCCTCAATGCTGGGCCAAAACATGCAGCTAGCTTACTTAGAATTTTTGAAGCCAGAAGCTGAGCTAAAAGTGCAACAATGTGCTCAATTTCGCTGTTTTTATGTATGATTTTTTCACAATAAAACCGCTTAGCTTCGTCCACAGAAGCGGGAAGCAGATAAGGTAGACAGATTCGAAGTCAGCGTTTTATACTGCATCGAATGATATACAGCTTCTTTGGTTTGGCCACTTCGACTTCTGACCATTCCCTTGTCAGTAAGGTTCTAGAAGTGCTTTCAGATTTATCTTTTTCGAAAGCCTAAGCTTTCACAGGTAGAGAACTCATATCATTGCATTCTCACCATTTCTATTACAATCTTCCCGTGCTATCTCATGGAACTGTTTGAAATGAAAAAAGAAACAGGCGAAAAAATGATTGCCAGATCCTGCTTACAAGAGGTAAATTTTGAAAGATATATTAGGTTGTTGCAAAAATAATGTCCGTTTTTCTAGACCTATATTCCAAACAGCTTTTTTCCCATTAGACTTTCTTTTTCGATATAGCATCTGCATATCATTGGAAAGCCCTCTTCATGTACTTTCTCATGGCGGTGACATTAAGCTGCTATCCTCACTTGTGAGAATTTCACCAGCATTTTCCACATCCGCACTCAAAATCGGAATCTCATAGCTTCCACTCTCTTGACCACAATTCAGGAGCAAATAAACGAATTCTTCCGAAAACATAGCAAGTGTACTGAATGAAGATTGTTTACCTACTGCGTGCTTATGTAGATTTTTGGAGAAATGTGGACTAAGAAATTGACGCGTCAAAATAGACACTCGCTGCTGGCATTCTATGGATCAGAAATTTCTCATAATTGAAGCAATCGCCAAAGCTTCGCCCATTTCTGTAAGCTTGAAATCAGCACACCTTAACTACATTATTTGAAGAGAAACTTAACTATTCAGTGCACGAAGAATTCCAAATTTTCATAATTAGGCACTTACAAGAATACAACAAGTAGGCTCAAAAGAGTGAACATTTTTGAATTTTTATCTTTTCTTTTCGCAGAACTCCTTCGTTGGAGTTTCTTCTATACACACCTATACTACTGACCTGCGGCTACAAAATAAGCTAATTAGCAGACATAGGGACAAAGCTTGAAGGGAATTGTAAGCTCTAGAAGACGAGGTTTTCAAGAGAAAAACTTTCAGTTTTCTGACGCATGGTTTTCTTCCCGTTTGCGATATCAGTATGGGCAGGGGCGCGCTAAATTAAGAAAGGTTTGATGTTTTTGATGGTCTTGACTGCATTCAAAAATATGGAGAATGAACGAAGTTATAGCCTTCCAAAGTGAAAATTTGCAAAACGGACATTATTTTTGCAACAACCTAATATTTTGGCAATGCAAAGAGGCAACTGAAAGATGCTGTGATGTTATTTCCGAAGAAAAATTTTGGCCGTAAGCTATCATACGTGGGGCACCACGAGCAACGAAGACCTGCTTTAGCAGTACGAAAATAAACTGTAAGCGGTCAATATATAACTTTTGCTGTCTGGAAGTCGTCACATGTTTCTCTCCAGTCTAAGACCTTCGCTCGTATAAAGATAGAGCCGCAAAAAGGTTCGTTTGGAATTTGTCTCTCAGAGTGAAGGTTGTCCAGGAAAGCGTGAATTATAAAAAAAACTGCTAAAAACCGATTAAGCGCTACAACACATTGTAATGCTTAAAATTTTTGCATTTCTAGCGTGATATAATGCACATTAGTGGCTACAAAAGTTTCATGCTGGGCGGCGTCATATCCCATGCAAGGTACAGAAATGGCACCATTCCGACTTTCATGAAGTAATGCGGCAAAATCTTCGGGTTTGATTACAAGACTGGATGCGAATATGTACGCAAATTAGGGAATTGACCATACTGATTTGATCCTGCAGTTCTCATGATTCCTCCAATTTCTGCAATGATGGCGCGCAAAGACGGCCCTAGTCATTATTGGAGATTATGGCGAAATTTCGAGTACTGATTTTGCAAGTACACTGTTGTTCAAAGCCATCCTATTCAAATTGATAGTATATGTTCTACGTCCTCCTCCATATTATTTCGCAAAGACAGGGTTTATCTTTAATCAATCTACCCGTAATTGTAAAATAGATACATGCGAAAAACCACAACTTGTCAGACCTCATATTTCGATTTAGACTAGAAGACGCAACTTCTATTGCATCTGCTTGCGATCAGCAATTTAACCTATGTCATTTCAAATAATCTTGGAATGAAGAAAAAAATTTGAGCTTGCCTAATCATAGAAAGAATTTTCGAGTCTTATAGGCGTTCACATGTTTACCTACTGAAAGTGGTGGGAATGTGACACGAACAATCAAGATGAAATGCTCTTCATTTAGCACCTAACATCAGTGAGTTTTCGTTTACGTTATAAGATGCTCAATTGAAGCATGATAAAATTTGCGATAAGTAATCTATATTTAGCTTCATGTCTCAGTTGGAGTGCCCAGCGTTTTCGGTTCACACACAAAAGAATCTATAAACCACAAACATGCTAACAAGCACTTTACAGTGTTTGAGTTTTATATTAGGCTGATCATGGCTGTGCCCGTTCTCTATACTTCAGATTTACACCAAGATGAAGGACGCAGTTAAAACTACTGTACCAGGGACTTTTGGCTAACAGGTACTTTTGCGTGACTGTTGTTAACACAAAAAAGATTTTCTAGTTTGAAGATTGCTGAAAACTTTTTTTGGGAGCTTCTACCTTAAGAGAGTATGACTTACTCTGATGTGAAATAGGATAACGAACACTTTGCTCATCGTGTAACCAAGGAACTGTTGATGGACGCCAAGCTTGGATTAGAAAAAGCCGAATGTTCACTTTTTTCTGGCATCACGGTGTGTTCAAAAATCAACCTTTCTAAGAAGTTCATTTTCCTCCATTGGAAAGTGAAAAAACCGTAACGTTTTTCCACCATCAAATAAACTCGGCTTACCCCTGCTAGATAGTGCAAAACTGCACACGCCTTTTGCTCAAAGGCAGCGGCTCAGCAGAAGACAAATTTGGAATATTCATCGTTCTCGTTCCCCTAGATAAGCTAAGTCCAAGACTGTGCTTTGTAGCTTCAAAAGATATCAATAACCCGCTTTTCTAGGAATGAAAAGTGCTGCTTGGGAGGACGCGTATGCCTGATCTCTAGAGGTAATTGACTCGTAAGTACGGTTGGTACGGTGTTTCCACCCATGAGGCAATCGCGTTTTAGAGAGCAGGACGCCGTTCGCCCAAATAGCACCTTTCACGTTTGGAAAAGCGTGTTATTGATATCCTTGCTCGTCCAGGAGAACTGAAAAAAAAAACTAGGACTATCCCAAAGTTGTCACTTTGCTAACCGCTGCCTTCAAGGCATAAAACTTCAGAATGAACGAAGATGCTGATATAATCGCTGAAAATTACAACCCTTCGTTTTCGCCATATCCAACTTTCGCTAATTTTCCATAATTTTTATATGAGGCATTTGAGAGAGCTTCGATAATCAGTGAATCGATAATCAGTGAATAACCATCTACATACTCATGTTCTACGGGGTTGGGATAGGCCGAACATAAAATTTGGTTACTTCAAGAATGTTTTTTTAGAAATTCTAAAAGATAAGCAGCAGAGCTACAGGAAAAGCACAGTTGGCGAAAGGTATGAGCCAACCGCTTACTGTCAAAGCTCCCGCAAAAGTGTGAAGTAAAATTTTGAAAATCAGCGGAAGCTGGAACTGGTGAAAACGACGGGCTGTAATTTCCAGTAATTTCCTCAGCACTCCCTCAACGAAACACACAGATAATATAGCAGCTGTGAAGAGCAAGAAATTACTATACGGGATTTGGGGGCCCTTTCAAGAGAATGACACAACTTTTAGATCGTTCTAAAATGCATATAGATTAAAAGGGGAAAACATTGTGAGTCAGCTAGTCAGAGCTATCGTCATATGCAACATTACAACAGCCGTTAGCGCGATGCATTAAACGCCTAGTGATCCCAGAATTGCAAGAAACGGGAGCCGCAGGAATCACAGCATATGGCCGCTCCTCCAGAAGTTGTTACTTTTGAATACACAATGCTTTTTTTACGACACAAATAACTTAAGGTAGAACCTAAAGTCATTAAATAAATAAGTCTGTGAAATTTCGAAACTGCTTGTTTCAATGTATTAATGTATTATCCAGATATGTTTACAAGTGTATGAGATTGCCGAACTAAGTCGCATGCCTGCTATCGCCAAACTCCATTACTTAACCAGTGTAAATGGTCTTCCATTTTATGCTCAAAGTATGCGGACAAGAGGGAATAACTTACTTCATAAAGAACCCATTAGCAATTCTTGCCTGTGCTCCAGGTGAGTTGGTAATGTTCATGAAAAGATCCGAATAGAAGCTGACTATGGCGTTATCGGTAGCTTCTAAATTATGAGTATATAAACATTGAAGTTGCTCCACATTTGGTGACCCATTGATAATTAAGGTCTAATATTAGGCTGTTTATGAGTTTTTCTTGATTTTACCAGCATCATAGTCTTTCTATCTCTTTCCCTTATTCATGCGCTCGGCTTGGCAAACTTCAGAGCAAAGCAAGAACCTACAAGATGGCTGGCTCTTGAATGGCCTTCCAAATAAAGTTTGAAACTGAAATCTGGTGGTGGTTAAGCGATATACGCCAGAATCGCATCTCTATGTAATAGATACTACAGATCCCCTACTTGATAGTGCAT